TGGGTCTCAGTTGTGGCGCGTGGGATCTTCCATCTTTGTTGCAGCATAGGGATTTTTGTTGTTGTTGTGAGGTCTCGTTTCCTGACCGGTGATCGAACCCGAGCCCCCTGCACGGGGAACATGGAGTCCTAGCCGCTGGATCACAAGGGAAGTCCCACCACCCACTCATTTAAACATGAATATTCTCATCGTCTGCCCTCTACTATTGCGTCTGTCTTCTGTGTGTTTCCACCAGACAAGAACATGACTTCTCAGATTGTACTTACTTTCATACACTTGCCTTCAAGAAATGTCGATACCCTTTGTCTGATTAGCTTGACCTGGAGGAAGGTCTCTAAATGGCTTGATCCTGCTTAGCTTTTTTTTTCCCCCAGTGACCTGGATGAAGATGGCAGAGCTGGTTATCAACTTTAATGTGATATAGCATAGAAGGGGGCTTCGCATAGAAGGGGGCTTCCCAGGTGGTGCTAGTGGTAAAGAACCTGCACCTGCCTGCCAATACAAGTTAGACATAAGACATACAGGTTCGATCCCTGGGTCAGGAAGATTCCCTGGAGAAGGGAATGGCAACCCCTCCAGTATTTTTGCCTGGAGAATCCCATGGACAGAGGAGCCTGGTGGGCTACAGTTTACCAGATCGCACAGAGTCGGACACAGCTGAAGCAACTTCACACAGCATGGCAGCGTAGAAAGAGAACTGATTTGGGGGGATGAAAGGAAATGTGTTCAGACATCTCTCAGTGGGTTGGAACAGTAGACCAAGACTAGCATGATAAAACTAATAAGGGCAATGGAGTTTTCCATTCCGAGTAAAATATTCATTGTAGAAGTATAAACTAAAGGAAGACAATGAGTCAAAAAACCTTGGGTCTTTTTTCTTGTGGACTGACTGGGGTTGGGTTTTGCTTGTTAGTTTTTACTCAGAGGTTCAATACATGACCCTAAGCCACACAGACATGTGTTCACAGGCACATAGCACCAATGTAAGCCACAGTAATGTAAAAAAGGGCAAGGTCTCGGGGCATCTCTGGGGGTCCAGTGGTTAAGACTCAGTGTTTCCACTGGACCGCTGTGGGGGCACAGGTTCGATCCCTGGTCGGGGAACTAAGATCCTGCATGCTGAGTGACGTATCCAGAACAAACAATAGCATGGTCTAAATCAAAGAAGTAATCGTTTCATTCCTTTGGGGACTATATCTCAAGTGTTTTCAGTTCTGAGTGCCATGTTTTTAGGACGATGACAGGAAGAGCACAAACCAAAAGGCTCCCAGCGGGCCCCTCCTCCAGTATACAGGGCTCACTCTTGGCAACCCCATGAGCTGTAGCCCACCAGGCTCCTTTGTCCATCAGGTTTTTTTCAGGCAAGAATACTGGAGTGGGTTGTCATTTCCTCCTCCAAGGGATCTCCCAGAACCAGGGATTGAACCCATGTCTCTTGCGTCTCCTGCATCGGTAGGTGGATTCTTTATCACTGCACCACCCGGGAAGCCCTTGAATCAGTGCTCAGTTAATGAATGTTGGTTGAATGGATAATGACTTGAGTGGTCACTGATGGTGCCTTAGGTTCTGGGAAGGACAGTTGATGATACCAGGAAAAAGGAAACTTTGAGAGAGCTCTCTTCAAATATTAGCAAACCTCTTAAGTAGAAGAGAGATTATAGATTCCTTTCATGTTTTTCCAGAAGACAGACCAACACACCAATGGGTGACTGGGTCAATTTAGGAAAGAATTTCCCAGGGCTGTTATCCAGTGGCACTGCAGAGTTGGTCTTGTAAAGCTCCTTAGACAAAGACGGTCCACAGCAGCCCACTGATGACAGAGGCCAGGACCAGCATGAGGGATACAGCAGCAGAGATTCCCGCACTTGGGGTATGGCCAACACAGTGGCCTTCTAGTCTGTACCATGGGCTTCCCCGGTGGCTCAGATGGTAAAGACTCTGCCTGAAATGCGGGAGACCTGGGCTCAGTCCCTGGATTGGGAAGACCCCCTGGAGAAGGGAATGGCAGTCCACTCCGCTATTCTTGCCTGGAGAACTCCACGGACAGAGGAGCCTGGAGGGCTGCAGGCCATGGGGTCGCGAACAGCTGGACACGACTGACACACACACATAGAACAGATTCCTGATGAGAAGCCACGGTGTAGCTCAGGGAACTCCTCGAAGCTTGCTGACGGCCTAAACGGGAAGGAAATTCAAAACTGGGGGGGGGGGGGAGGGGGCATGTGTGTCCGTGTAAGTGATTTACTTTGCCTCACAGCAGGAACTGACACAGCATTGTAAAGCAACTACGCTCAGTTTTTTAATTTGTTTTTTTAAAAATTAAAAGGAACTGAAAAAAAAAAAAGACAAAGAAGCAGAGGCTGAACCATAAGAGTAGAACTTGGGGGGACTTACTCCTGTGGGTAAGAACCCCAGGACGAGTGTTTGCCTTTCAGAGCGATGCTGAAACAGACTTCCCTCTCCTGGGATTCCTGCCCTGGGAGAATTGCATCACCTGGGCCTGTGGCACAGTCAGAGGGCAGTTTTCTTGCTGCCTTTTCAAGCTTGTTAAGAGCGTTCTCAGCCGGTCTCCACTGAGCTCTAAGTAACCTCCAGCCCTTGATCCTAGAGCTGCCGCCCTCTGCCTTCTCTGCAATTCCAGACTCCTGTGCTTGGATCGCCGGGCCCCAGCCCCTCCCTGGGGACTGTCCCCACTGCATCCTCTGTCTGAACGTGTCTTTCTCCTTTCCGTGTGGTCCCCAAGCCCCACTTGTGCCCACTTCACAGCCTTTCTCAAGTCTCATTACCTCCCTTTCCCTTGAGCCATATAATCATTTGCTCAACTGATTTTGAATGTTAACTAATGACCTTGGTTTCCAGTAGTGGTTCTCCACCATGACTGCACACTGGCATCACCTGGGAATCTTGTTAAAAAATTCCTGGTGCCTAGGTCTGATCTGCAGAGGTTCAAACTTCACTGCTCTGACCTGAGCATCAGGCTTTTCAAAGCCCTCTAGGAGATTCCTTCTGCAGCCACGATGGAGAACCATGGGTCTACAAACTCATTGGATTCCCAAGCTGACTGTCGTCCAATAACAGCTGTATTTGTTCCCCAAGGGACTCATATACCACAGTGTCTTAAATCATTTGTGTGAATATAGAAATATCAAAGTACCTATTTCCACTCTGTGTTAATTTGGTAGATTTGGGGGGAAGGAAATAGTACGGTTCCTGTTTTGAAAACTCAATTCATGGCATACCTCTGGGCTCACTTGACTGCAGAAGCAGCAACCAGCTTTTATCAAGCTCTCAGCATGTGCCAGGCACTGTGCCAAATACTTCCTAAGCTCGACACATTCATCAGCCCATTTTAATCCTTACCGCAAGTCCACAAGTGAGCCCCACTTTTTGGCTTCCCTGACTAACAAGGAAACTAAGATTCAGAGAGAGGCTTATCCACTTGTACAGGGCTGTACAGAAAGCAGTGCTAAACTCAAACCCAGGCACATCCGGTGCCAGAACTTCACTGTTTCTCTACCCCCATGGGAAAGAACTTAACCAAATAACTTGCAGATAAGCAAGATGTGCCGGCTTTAGCTTTGGGGTTGAGCCTTTTTTCAGTTGAGTTGCATTCTTTTGTGTATCAAGCACCTCCATAAATCTGATGTCAGATTCACTCTCAAGCTGCCTAGATATATCAAGAGTTATGTCACAAATTGTCCAATTTCCCAGGTGACTCAGCAGTAAAGAATCTGCCTGCAATGCAGGAGCCACAGGAGACACAGATGCGATCCCTGGGTCAGGAAGATCCCCTGAAGCAGGGCATGGCAGCCCACTCCAGTATTCTTGCCTGGAGAATCCCATGGACAGAGGGGCCGGCGGGCTACAGTCTATAGGATCGCAAAGAGTCGGACACGACTGAGGCGACTTAGTACATGCACACGTCACAGATTAATTTTTTTCATGCACTCAGGAGACATTAGTTTAGAAAAGCATCTTGCTTCTCGCTTCTAACCTAGCAGACAATACCCCATCTTTTACTCAGTCTTCCTGATACTTCTCTGAGGAAGTGAATAGGCAACACTCTCCCCATTGGGTAGAAAGGGGAACTGTATGCCAAGTATTAATTATCTACTAAATATTAGCGACAACTACTACTCACTGAGTCCTTACTAAGTGCCAGGTTCTGTGCTGGGCTGTTTACCTCCTGTGTGGTTTTTGTTATTTTGCACACGAGAAAACAGAGATCCAAAAAGCTGGAGCTGCTCGCCCAGGGTTATACAACTAGTGACTGGATACCTGTTTGCTTCTTTGCTTTTTAAGTTCCTTGTGAGCAAAACGGTTCAAACATGGCCTTTGTTCACTGCCTCACCATGGCCTGGCCGGCCTCTGCTTGCATCTGAACCACCATGTCTGGGATAAACCACTGAAGCGTAAACAGGATTTCTTTCTGTGTGTCCAGTGGCCATCTCATAGCCATCGTGAAACAAAGGATTTTCTGCCAACCTTGAATATCACACTGAGGTCAGGCGGGCTCTAAATATTCCTTCTCCAGCCATCCCAGCACCAGGCTGCTTCGGCATAAACCACCCCCAAAGGTGAGAGCTGGCTCTGGGAGCAGGTTCACCACCCTCCCCCTCAGCTCCATCTCTGAGCACCGCTACCTCTCACGGTTTCAGATTAACGACAAGCCCGCCACCCCGGCTGGGGCCGTTCCGTCCTGCAGGGACACTCCGTGCTGAGGACAGAAGCCTGTCACCCCTTCTCGCTGGCTGTGAGTAGGCCAGCTCATTTTCTCTCTCTTCAGGCACATAAAGACTTGGTATTTTCTGGTTGGTTAAAATATGTACACACACGCACACAATTCTGTAGGGAGGCGGACACTTCATGCAGAAAGATCGGCAGTGTGGTGCGCGGACGGAGGCCCAGGGAAAATAAACTACCTGGCATCCTGTGTCAGGGCAGTGGGTCACTAACTGAGTGCAAACCTGTTTTTTTTAATGTTGTTTATCCTCCTACAGGGCATACAAAACCATTGAGGATGATGACTTGAAGTTTCCCCTTATATATGGAGAAGGCAAGAAGGTAGGCACGTGCCCTCCCTGGACTGAGAGAACCAGGCTCTCTCTCGACGGAGCCCCTGGCAATCTGCGTGTTCCACTTGGCAGCTTGTGATTTTGTAGTCTTGACAGCTTGAAAGAATATCACCTCCACCTTCCTTCAGCTCTCCTGTCTTAAGGGTCCAGGGAGCGGCAGGGCTGTGGATGGAAGTGGTGAGCACAGAGGACTAACGGCAGGTTTGCGAAAATGACATCCCCCTTCTCGATCCATTTGCATAACTTCTTGCAGTGTTTAAACACGACCACTTTCACATACATCATCTCACTGTGTATTGACGACAAGCCACGAGGCAGGCAGAGTTGGCTGTCTTACATCCAACTGGGAGATGAGGCCCGGGTGGTACGAGCCGTGGCCCTCCACTTCCTTCTGGTGCCCTTGCCTTCCACCATGGATGCTCAGACTGTACACGCCAGCTTCTCCACTTGCCCCATGAGAAGGGGATCCAGAGTTTCACCTCAATAAACTATAGGATCACGTGGATCAGATACCAGGCTGAGATAGCAAAGACCATTCATCACCAGCTTCCAAGGCCCCTGTCAGAGTCTAACACTGTTGGGCTGGAGGAAGGCTGTTGGTCTTAGAGTGGTCTCTGAGCAGAGACTGGAGAGGGTGCAGGGGTGGAGATGAGAAAGCTTTGAAGTCATTTCCCAGGAAGAACAAACACCATCTAAATCATTGCATTCTTCCTCGGAACATGAATACATTTCAACTAAGCGCTGAGAGTTCCAATTAGAAGAGAAAAATGTGGTCACGTTAAGAAGAATATTCAAGTGAAAATTTTTTCAGCATGTGATAGCTTTTATCAGAACAAGTGACTCATAAGAAAACTGAAGGATGCCTTTGTGGACAGAGTTTGAGTGAGTGTGTGTGTGTGTGTGTGTGTGTGTGTGTGTGTGTGTGTGTGTGGTATGAAAGCACACAGGAGTAGGTTTTGGGTTCAGCAGTGATTTTGCTCGAAGGAGAGAGGAATTTCGCAGAGGGAAATGAAACATGAATATTTGATCAATAAATGCATCATTTGCCAAACCAACGTCCCCCTTTCCTTAGACGGATGCCTTCTGCCTTGCCATCCTGGTTGAGAGTCAGGACAGGGAGGGGCTGTGTTGCCGGTAGGATTCTGTGTGTCTGAGTACAGTGGGCACCGTCGTGAGCATCACTCAGCCCAGTGATCTGCACCTGCACTCTCTGGTGTTCATGGCACTGAGATTCTCAGTATTACCTTGCTGCTCCCCAGTGAGTTCCGCTAAGCTCAGGACCACATCCTGTTGCCTTCATATCCTTAGTACCCAGCTAGCCTGGGACTTGACTCATGGCAGGCCATCAGTAAATGCATAAGTATTTAATAAGCTGTTCAGTTATGTTCAGTATACTCTCCTTGAAAGAAAGTGAAGGTGTTAGTCATTCAGTCGTGTTTGACTCTTTGCGATCCCATGGACTGTAGCCCGCCAGGCTCCTCTGTCCGTGGAATCTCCCAGGCAAGAATACTGGAGTGGGTTGCCATTCCCTTCTCCAGGGGATCTTCCTGACCCAGAAAACAAACCCAGGTCTGCTGCATTGTGGCAGATTCTTTACCATCTGAGCCACCAGGGAAGCCCCATACTCTCCGTTGTTCAGTTGCTCAGTCGTGTCCAACTCTTTGCTACTCCGTGGATGCCAGGCTTCCCTGTCCTTCACCATCTCCCGGAGCTTGCTCAAACTCATGTCTGTTGAGTCAATGATGCCATCCATCCATCCCGTCCTCTGTCGTCCCCTTCTCCTCCTGCCTTCAATCTTTCCCAGCATCAGGGCTTTTTCCAGTGAGTCAGCTCTTTGATTCAGGTGGCCAAAGTATTGGAGCTTCAGTTTCATTATCAGTCCTTCCAATGAATATTCAGGATTGATTGCCTTTAGGATTGACTGGTTTGATTTCCTTGCAGTCCAAAGGACTCTCGAGAGTCTTCTCCAACACTGCAGTTCAAAAGCATCAATTCTTTAGCACTCAGTCTTTTTTATGGTCCAACTCTCACATCCATATGTGACTACTGGAAAAACTGTAGCTTTGAGTATATGGACCTTTGTTGACTTACTCTCCTTGGTACAACAGAAAAATAGACAAATGTGTTCTTCTGTGATGACCTGAAGTAAGATTTAAAGGAGCAAGGTTTATCTCAGTTCAGCAAAAAGCGCAGTTCACCAGGACATCATGTTCCTCCAGCATTCCAGCAAGTTAGGGCTTGACAGTTCTGTGATATGTAGTTGGTGAATTCAGTCGTTGTACCTCTTGACCTATTTAAACGCCACCATGGCTCCAATTGGCTCCAGGCATACCCTGTACCAAAGTAGCTTCCCCTCCGTCTCAGGACTCCACGACCTGTTAAGAAGGTTTAGAATGCAACACATCAGCTCTGTCTAGATCTCGGTTTTCTCTTTCTTTTCTGCACACATCTCCCTAGAAGTTTCAGAATACTTTCACTGCTGTTAAATTTCATTTGATTTCTGCCAGTGCTTTGAAGGACTGGTGTGGGACTTGTAAACTAGCAGAAATATCAGATTTCTTTGGACTAAAATGCCCACCTATGCTTTGTCCAACTTGAGAAGGTACGGCAGCAGGGAGGAAAGCAGAAGGCTCGTAAGGAACTCAGAATTTCCACACTTAGAGGTGAATGTGTCTCAGCTTGAAGGGAGCTCCGAGCTGAGCAGCACCTGGCCAGAGGTCCCGAGGCTCACATCCTCTGTCTGCATTTTACCCACTGTGGGTCTAGCCTTGTAAAAATGCATTACGGTTTCATTTCCACTTAAATGTAAAGCTGCCCACCTTCTGATGTGAATCCAGCTCCAAATTCACAGCCTTTTGAGGGAAAGTAGGATGAAGACCATAGTAATGTGTTAGAGCATCATGTCTTAGCATTTCTCAGTTCAGTTCAGTCGCTCAGTTGTGCCCTACTCTTTGTGACCCCATGGACTGCAGCACGCCAGGCCTCCCTGTCCATCACCAATTCCCGGAGTTTACTCAAACTCATGTCCATTGAGTCGGTGACACCATCCAACCATCTCATCCTCTGTCGTCCCCTTCTCCTCCTGCCTTCAATCTTACCTAGAATCAGAGTCTTTTCAGATGAGTCAGTTCTTCGCATCAGTTGGCCAAAGTATTGGAGTTTCAGCTTCAGCATCAGTCCTTCCAGTGAATATTCAGGACTGATTTCTTTTAGGATGGACTGGTTGGATCTCCTTGCAGTCCAAGGGACTGTCAAGAGTCTTCTCCAACACCACAGCTCAAAAGCATCAATTCTTCAGCACTCAGCTTTCTTTATAGACCAACTCTCACATCCATACATGACTACTGGAAAAACCATAGCCTTGACTAGATGGACCTTTGTTGGCAAAGTAATATCTCTGCTTTTTAATATTACTGTCTAGGTTGGTCATAGCTTTTCTTCCAAGGAGTAAGCGTCTTTTAATTTCATAGCTGCAGTCACCATCTGCAGTGGTTTTGGCCTCCCAAAATAAAGTCTGATACTGTTTCCATTGTTTCCCTGTCTATTTGCCATGAAGTGATGGGACCAGATGCCATGATCTTAGTTTTCTGAATGTTGAGCTTTAAGCCAACTTTTTCACTCTCCTCTTACAGTTTCATCAAGAGGCTTTTTAGTTCCTCTTCACTCTCTGCCATAAAGGTGGTGTTATCTGCATATCTGAGGTTATTGATATTTCTCCTGGCAATCTTGATTCCAGCTTGTGCTTCTTCCAGCCCAGCCTTTCTCATGATGTACTCTGCATATAGGTTAAATAAGCAGGGTGACAATATACAGCCTTGATGTACTCCTTTCTTGATTTGGAACCAGTCTGTTGTTCTGTGTCCTGTTCTAACTGTTGCTTCCTGACCTGCATACAGATTTCTCAAGAGGCAAGTCAGGTGGACTGGTATTCCCATCTCTTTAAGAATTTTCCACAGTTTGTAGTGATCCACAGTCAAAGGCTTTGGCTTAGTCAATAAACCAGAAATAGATGTTTTTTTGGAACTCACTTGCTTTTTCGATGATCCAACAGATGTTGGCAATTTGATCCCTGGTTCCTCTTCATTTTCTAAATCCAGCTTGAACATCTGGAAGTTCACGGTTCACATACTGTTGAGGTATAGCATTTCTAGATTACTCTTATTACCAGAGCGTCAGAGCAAGGATTCAAGTATAGGTCTTTGAACCACACCACTACACCAAGTGTAGTGTTGATGAGCCATATGTTAGAGCCACGGGCTTCGGTTAGCCCAGAATGACTTTCACTCCATTCCTCTGTGTTCACCTGGGTTGGACATCCTTCTGCACAAAAATGTAGTGCCGCCCGCCTCCTCCAGGGAACCTTCTTAGTAGAATTTTTACCTCCTCTGAACTCACATAACCCATTATTTGTCTTTCAGCACTCGGCCCTATTCTATATATTGTTAATCAGACACGTACCTCTGAGTCTTTCCCTTACCAAGTTCCTTTATAGTAGGTACAAGACCATAGACATGTGTCCCCTGCAGGATGGTATCTGCACATAGTAGGTGCTCAATAAATGTCTGGGTGAATCATATCTGTGGTCTCCCAGGAGATCATTAGGCTGACAGTATAGGCATTAGTACAATAGTATTGCTTCCTTAAAGTATTTGGACAGCCATGCAGAGAAGGCTACAGATGGCATGGTCTCAGCCGCGAGGTCTCTGTGGAGTTGTAGCGCAGTGACATCTTGTTCCTTTCTGCCTGGAGGGAATTGTGTGAGTATGTTAGCAGGACAGGTTATAGTCTAATGGTATCTTTCTAATGGTACATTTTCTCCAGCCATAAAGTAAAATATATGAGCTCTGGAAGGGCAGGATCTGCCTCTGACATTTTTATATCTTTTATCACAGAACTAGAGACATATTGTCTACTGAATACTGTTTACTGAATACTGGTATTCAGTAAATACTTGAAGAATGGGTGTATAGCAGATGGATGGATTGGGGGGGTAATGGATGGATGGGTGGATGGGTGGACAGATGGACCGATGGGGGATGTATGGATGACGGATCCTGTTGGATTTGGTTTGAATTGATTTCAGTAGCTGTAGACATCATGGATGTATTGTATTGAGTTTATTGGACACATCCCCTCCAGTGTCTGCGAAGAGACGGCAGCAGCCCATTCAAATGCAGGTAATTGGTAGAAAAGCCCCTCCTCAAGTATGTCAGCAACCTTGGCGGGCTCTACCTCGAAAACAGCTACGCACAGAGCTGAGCGGCCAGGGGCAGCGGGGATGGGAGCGTGACTGCGGCGCCTGCGCCGCGGCGGGCGTGCCTTCCCCGTTGGCAGCAGTGTTCCTGACGGCCCTCTGCTTGTACCCCCAGGCCCGTGTGATGGCGACCATTGGAGTGACCAGGGGACTCGGGGACCACGACCTGAAGGTGCACGACTCCAACATCTACATCAAACCCTTCCTGTCTCCAGCTCCAGAGGTACCCCGGGCCTTTTTATTTCTGTTTGTACAAGAACATGTTTTCTGCACTGCCCCTCCCCTGACTCTCGCCCCACATCCAGGCAGTGGGCAGCGCACGTCCCACGCGCTTCTGCATGGCCTCTCACGGCTGCTCCTCTTCTCCCCTCCGCTCTCACGTCAGCCGTCCTGGCTCCTTCTCCATCGCCTCCAGCCCAGAAGGCTGCGCGGCCTGTGGCATCCCTGCCTCCTCAGTCCAGCCCACGTACGCCGTCAGAGCAGTCTCCCTGAACAACTGCTCTGACACCTGTTTGCTCAGAAATCTTCAACAACACCCCAGGGCTCAGAGAATAAAGCCCACACTCCTTCACTGGGCATTGTTATAATTTATTATAACAAATTATAAGGACTTGTTATCATTTGGTCCAACTTAGAAAAAAAAAAACCTGATCTTTGGTCCCCTAACACTAGCCAGAATGAACTTATTTTTGGTATATGATCTTTAGTTTTCCATATTTGCTCAAACTATTCTTTCCGCCTAGAATGCCCTTCCCCCTCATCTCCAAACATCCAGACTCTTTTTTATCTCTAGGATTTAATGTAAATACTTCTCCTGCTTTCCCCTCCCCCAACAGGAAGTCACGCCTCCCCCTACTCCAGATACCTGGAGATTGTTTTCACTTTCTGCTTATAGCATGGAGATTTACATACAAATTTTATCCCCTCTTAGATTCTAATTGCCAGGAAAGCTAGTATGATTCAATTGATGTTTTAAAAGTTAACTGAAAAACAAGTTTTCATATCTTTGGTTTAAAAAATCATTTTTCTTATAATGTAGGAAACAACATCAAGTTCTATTTCAGGGTATATCATTTAGAAAAGATACTGTTTCTAAGTGATAGAAAAGTCTAAGTAATAGTAGTTGGTGGGTGTATTTTCTCACATACCAAGAAGGCTGGAATTTGGTGGCTGTCCATGTTGGTGCAGCACCTCCGATGTGCCAGGGGTGACATCTCTGTGGCTTTTTTCCCTTCGTGGTTGCAAGATGGTAACGCAGGTTCAAGCGTAACGTTTTCGTAAAAGGCAGGAGGAAGGGGAGCAGCCCCTCTGTCCCAGTAGACATGTACTTGCATCTCGTTGGCCCAGACTGTGGTACCTGGCCTCCCCTAGCTACAGAGGAGGCTGGGAGAGAGAGAGGAAGGTCTGCAGTTTCCGTAGTGGAGGAGAGCCAGGGAGGGGTGAGCTGGGACCCAGCAGTGTTTGCATACTATGTAATTAACTGTTAAAACAGTGCCTCTGGAAATGCTCAGACTGCTTAGACATAGCTCCATCTGCATGTTCTTCCCAAGGGTGGCTGCTGCGTTTGCAGTGAAGGCTCTTTTTGTTGAGGGAAACAGAAACCCACTCCTGCTGACTCAGAAGGAGGTGCTTATTTTCCTACTCTCGGAAGAGATATTTATGGGGTCCACAAGAACCTTTGAAGAGCCAGGCTTTATGGAAGAGGAGCTGATTCTGGAGGCAAGGCAGCTCTAAGACCAGTCATGCTCCTTAGGTCTCTGCTCTCAGGCCACCCGGTTTCTCACTCCCTCACATTACCAGAGAGGAATCTCAATGGCCCAACTCATCTTTTCTACCAGGTCCCAGCTGCCTTCACAGCCTGTAGACTGTGTCCACTCCAGAGCCATCAATGGGCGCAGTCAGCCACCCAGGCCCAGCCTTGTGCCAGCGCTGTGAGCAGGACTGAGTCCTTAACTGAGGTTGAGGCTGACATCTAAAATATACCCAGCTACAGGGAGTCTCACCAGAAGGAAATCTCCAGTGAATATCAGGAATAGGAGACAACGCGCGTGTCCTAGTATCACCCAGGATCTCAAGTGAGAGCAGCTTGGTGGAAATACTATTTCCCATTTGCAGCTGTCTCTTTTAGCCTTCATAGCAATTCTGCATGATGAGGATCTCGACAACAGAGTGTCTAAGTTCCCCTGGATGTTGATGGATGCCCACTCCCTCTATTCTGGTCAATACTAGGATCCCTGAATCACTGCTAAAAGTCCTCCTGGCCAGAGAAAACCATTAAAGGCTATATTTGTGCATGCTATGTTGCTTCTGTCATGTCTGACTCTTTGCAACCCCATGGACTGTAGCCCGCTAGGCTCCTCCGTCCATGGGATTCTCCAGGCAAGAATACTGGGGTGGGTTGCCATTTCCTTCTCCAGGGGATCTTCCCAACCCAGGGATCTTATGTCTCCTGCAGTGGCAGGCGGGTTCTTTAGCACTAGTGCCAACTGGGAAGCCCAATACTATACTCATGGGCATCCATATCTTCCCCCTTGAGAGAGAGGCCTTTATCAGGCATATTAAATGGCACTGTCACCTTTCTATCACCCCCCACCACCAAAAAAAAAAAAACCATCGATGAAGTGTGACTGTGTTTGGTAGGGGATGGGGGAGTGTTCTAAGGAAGCGCTAATTAACCATTTTGTTCCTTAAAGGAGAACGAAAACTTCCTCACCCTCCCCACCCCAACACACACATAAACACACATATACTTTCTATATAAAGTGAGAAGTTTGGTTTTCAGAAAAATGATCTCTCCATGCAGTTAGGTTACAGATCTCCCAGTCACTCTGCTACTCTGGATCCCAAGGAGGGCCGCCCTGGGAGATTCCCCGAGGACTAATGAAAAATCCATCGGTTGATCAGAAACTTCATGTTGCCTGTCTGGAGTGATGCTGATTCTCAGGGAAGTGGTGTGGTTGCTTTAGCATTGACGAGGGATGGGGGAGGATTTAAACGGGAACCAGCAACCTCTAGGAAAATGTAAGTGCTCTTAGGAAAGTTGTAGAATTGAATAAAGTGTAGCACCTTTATGATAATAATAACAAGTAACATTTATTGATTACTGAGTCTGGGCCAAACAACATACTTTTTAAAAAAATCCTCACAACAATTCTGTGAGGTATATATGGTTAGTATACCCATTTTACAGATCAGGAAATTGAGATTCCGGGAAGAAAATTAACTCCCCTTGGCTGTACAGTTATTAACTAAAAAGATGATCCTCAAACTCAAGTTTGTCTGATTCGCTCAGGCTCTGTAGGGGAGAGAAGCTGAAATCGAGGAGATTTTTTTGCCGTGTCCAAGGGCCCCCCCTGAGGACTGTTTCAAGGGACTCTGAAGAGAGTACCTCTGTCTTGGGGCATTAGTGGACAGAGATTCTCAGAGAAACATGGCTGGCTTCAGACTGATGTAGAAAATGATGGTGTGGTAGAAAAAGTAATTGGAAAAGACAGGAATGGCTTTTTGTGTGTGCCAACCAAGGCCAGACAGAATTGTGCAAAATGAGATTGTGCACCTATAATTTAGCTTAATGGGTATGTAGTGCAGATCTCAAGACTCCTTTGCATGAGATTAAAGTTGTTGTACATTTTAAATGTTTCCAGATGGAGAGGCCTTGGCCAGAGCCAGGAAACAGGGAGGAAGATTGGAGAGGAGGTGGGGAGAGCAGCTTGAATCCACTCCTATGAGAAGTGTAGAAGAAAGAGAGATGGGTACCAGGGACCCCCGGCCCCGATCTTGGAGCAGAAGCTCCTTTTCCCTGGGCAGTCGTGCTAAAGTCAGACCCTAGAGAAACAGCTCAGGGGTTGCTATTAGGAGCCCCCAAAGCCAGGTAGACCTGTAGACCTGCTTAAACTATCTGATGAAGAACCCACTCCCTTCTGTCTTCAGTCTCCACCCCCTCCCCAAGGCTATGCTGGCTTTCTAACCGTGACTTCCTAAGAACATTCCTCTGCTATGCTTCATCTTTGCCAAGCATGGATCTTTATTTCACATTTGGGTTCTAAATTTCAAACTCAGCTCAGTCTGGTAGTTTTAACGGTTATGGGGAGGGGAATGGGGGGGTGGGGGGTGGGGGGTGTTTGGAATGTGATTTTGTTCTAAGAAAAAAGGCTCAAAAATCTTCTTGGAAATCAGCATTGTTCCCATTCATCATTGTAGCTCCTAATTCGATTTGATGAGTTAAATAAAAATAAATCGAAACCATGTGGATCAAATTTACGTTAAAAAAAAATGCACAGGGGTTTAAAAATTAGAGAAGGGTTTCTAGCCAAACACATTCTCAGTTTTGCTGAACACAGGCGCTGGAAAAATCTCGCGTTTGCCAAACCCAACGAGCAGCCGCCAGGTTTGCGGAGCCTCCCTCATGTCTTCCAAGGTCTAAGGTAGGGATATCTGGCCAAGAAGAACTGAATTCCATGAGAGGCCCCCACCAACCGAGCAGAGGCCTGTTCGGCGAAAAAGGGAAGTGTTTTGACCCTCCCCTGGTCCACAGCATCTTTTCTCCATGTAACTGGAGCCTCTCCTCTCAGAAAGGAAACGCCCCCCACCAGGTCTCCATCCTCTTGCCTGACGAAGCTCATCACTGTTCGGCTTTTGTATATCACCCTAAAGAACTCAAGTGGAGAAGGAAAGAGTTGGTGAATTCAGAGGCATTCAGCACCTTCTTTCCAGCAACTCTCCACCCCGGCCAGCACACACCTCGTGACCTGTCCTCAGGCAGCGTGTCCTGGGCCTGCAGCCTAGACCTCCAGATGTCCTCCACACCACGCCCCCTTCCTGGCCTGTGGCAGGCCCTCCCGACAGCTAGGATTCCGCTTAATGTCTTTCTCGCCTTCTGGCCTCCATTCCAAGACTGCGCTGTTGACTTTAGGCCCCCTTTCAGCCCTTGGAAGAACGGGATCTTTTTCTGTCTGGGGACTGGTTTGAAAAGCCAACTGTGTCAACTCGGCAGGGCCCCCCACTCCAGTCCCCGCCAGACTGAACCACGAGGAGCCTGATTTTCTCTCGGCTTCATTTTTCCTCCCCTTGGTGTTCAGGATTCCTGTCAGCTGTTTTCTGTGACTCAGGATCACTCATTTAGCTCATTCTTGGTTGTCTTCCTCTAGATTTTTTTTTCTTTTCTTTCTTTTTAAAAAATACTTATCTGTATTTGGCTGTGCCGGGTCCTAGTTGCAGCACACA